AAAGAATGATGTTAAATGAACGTGTTTAAAAGATAAAAGGGACGTTTAACTTTAGTTATAGATATAGATGGTTTAATATAGTTTAAAATTTATGTAATCCTATATAGTTAGGATGTAATATTGCGTCATATCACGCGCGTTAAATAATATTTATTCTTTTTAATATTATAAACACGATGAGAATAAATTCAGAACATCTGTCGTTCCGGCGATTCGAGAGGACGGTTATAAATCGTCTATAAATTTTGTAGTTTGTTAAAAATAAAGTATTTTTATACTTGACTATATATATGTATCGGTGACCGATATTCGGACCTCCGAAAGGTCGCCGGCTTGACGTTTAAGTAGACCTCAAATTTCATACCCAAGTAAATTGATGGCTCGAAAAGATACCTGAGAAACGAAATTCGACAACAGTGTTTGTATAGAAAATGTTCTTTCGGCACCATTTATTTTCTGGCTTAAAATTAAGTTCAAAAGATTAAAGTCGTATCGATTCCTATGGAAATTGTATTAAATAAAAGTAAAATTAATATAATTTGATAACTTATCAGTATATAGTATAAAAGTTTATTATTATTTCTCTTATGGTACAATTTCTTCGAACTTCCAAGATAATGCGACTCGACTAAAGTATAGAGTACATTAACATAATTTATTAATCAATATCTTAAATTAATAATTTGTTTGTGCCACAAGGAATCTCGCTTTTCTCACGTTTTTCGTTTTTACGTAAACGTGGAGCTTGGACAGTCGATTCTGGAATCTATGCGTTTGTAATAAGATCAAATTTCGTAGTAATGTAACTATCTATCCATTCGCAATCACTTTTCTATACACAGCCTGTACAAGTTAAAGCTGGGGTGAGTTCGGGAAAGGGGTCAAGGATCGATTTTTTGGGTTTATACACTGGAATTATTTACTTCGACACCACACGCATGTTAAAAACCTATATAAATATATTACAAATTCTTCTGATTGTTCACATATTTACAATTGATTCGCTTATCGCTTATCAAACGATACAATACGATAAGTTGTTTGGATATAAAAATGATAAATGTCATTGATACATTTCTAAAAAAAGTACAGTATTAACGTTTTATTAATCTATTTAACTGGAAAGTTTTTTAAACGTAATACTTGTACACTGAATAACGGCGCGTATTCCATACATTCATTGTGATGTTAAATATAATTGTTCAGAAAATTCTGTTACACACACTGTCGTGCTATACAAGATGAAGGGAACTAAATAATTCACAAGTTCTAAACGTTTGAACTACATTAGCAGGTATTAGTCAAAGCCGAGAGCTCCACAATGGCATTGTGTTACAAATACGCGAGATTGTTGCGCCAATGACGTCAGTCTGAATTTAATTTAGAATGTTCATATTATAATATGAATCCAAATAATTGCCGCAACGAATTGTCAGCTCGTTATATTGAAAGGTTAAACCATTTGAATATTTCGTTGTGAATGTGATTGTAACGGCGTGGTTAGTATTATTGTACTATGTTATGTGTGCCGCGGGATTAGAGGTAAACTCTTATCAGTGTAGCTCAATCTTGCGTTTACAAACGCAACGGTTACTAGATTTGATTGTACACCAGTTACGCGCTAACGCAGACTATAGAAATATCTTAAGACGGGTCCGACGATACCACAACAAACACAAATACTATTCACCGGAGAATATATATATTGAATATTACTTTATTTACTTAGCCCGAAATCAGTTTAGGTGAAACATAAAATAACTTTAATAAATACTATTAAAATCAGTGAAGACGAAATACCAATAGACTTAATAAAATTGTAAACTATCCATTTATTACATTTCAAATATTCTCGTTTGTCCGAAAAAATCAGATTTAAAGTTAATCTAACTTGATTACGTGGATATTTAAATTCCCTCAAATATTCGTTTGCTGTCAGGTGAGTGACAAGTTAGTCGCATTTTGTTCGTGTCGCCGCTGGCTAACCGCGGGAGATGACGGCTTATAATCCGATGACCGAATTTTATATTTATTATTTTGTGAATGAATGAACGAATGAATGAATAAATGAATGAGTGAATGAACTTGTTTAAAATAAGAATATTAAGAGTGAAAATAATGATTATACATTACTTACATGAATTATCTTGAGGAATTATGGTCATCTTAAAACACTCATTTTAATGTCATAAATTCTGAGCAATCATCGTTTCAAACATTTATAACTACTGACCTTACAGTTATAAATTTTGCACGTTTATGTATAGATACATTGAGTTGAGGTCATTTGAAAATGAAAATAAATTTAAGACCTCTCATAGTTATTTTATAGACAATTGTAAAATAATAATAATTAGATAATGTAATTTAAAACGCAAATTATGCTGTGATAAATTATATGAAATGGAATGTTTTACATTTTCGTACTCATTATTTACTATCAAATATTAGTCCAATTTGTAAATAAAATTTAATTTCATTCAAACACAATTAGCGTTTTATATTAATCATTGAGGTAGTATGTAGGTGAGGTCGATACTGAAAATATACGAAAGATGAGTTTATTTTTAAGCGATTTAAATATCTCTAAATACCATTGCTTACTGGTAGCAGTTTAACATTAATTAAACAACTGAATCCAATAAAGCTATTTATTAAAAGGCATTATATCTATAATTGGACCACTGAGAAAGCAGAGCAATTATTATACGAGAAGGATTTCTTAGCTGCAACTTCGTCTCGAGCAGTCAACCTAAAATGATTTCAATCCTACCAAGTTGCAAGCAGTTTAATTAGTTTTAAAATATAAGACGCAAAAAAATGTAATCCTCTAACTTTATAAGCCTTTCGAATAATAAAATGGTAAAGAATATTTATATTGTAATGTTAAATATCTTATTAGTATTTAATCTCCTTCGTCTTCCTGGCAATTTCCCAGCTTTCTGCCAGGGTCTGCCTTACATGTTGTGAATAGTTTTGGCTAATTGTTTTTACGACCTGCCTGACATCAACCCTCTTTGGGAATGCATTAATCAGTGATGTCTAAACACTCTTAGAAAGTACATATGACTCGGAAAAATTACGTTGGTACTTGCCAGGATCAAACGCGTGAGAGGAAGGCCTTTTAACCACTGGGCCGGCACTGACTCTGTATAGTCTATAGAGTGTCATATATTAGAATTTAATATATGACACTATACAGAGCAGTATTCATCATGCAGCTCATACAACCCAATCTGCCAGCGGATAAGGGGAATGTGAAATGTAGGTCGGTTAAAATTTCGCTGGTCCAATAATTTGAACAGTTCTCATTAAATTTTGCTAATAAATATGATGGAATGATACAGTCCGTATATCAGTTCGTAAGATTGGCTGTAGTTAAATTCATTTATGTAATAATAATATAAATAAAAGTTGTGTTAGTTACACTTTTTATAACTCAAGAACAACTGTAGGGATATGGTTGAAAATTGATGTGAAGATAGCTTAGAACCAGGAGACGGACATAGGTTATTTAATTCTGTTTGATCGAAAAAGAAAAAAATAATAATTCCAATATCGGGTCATTTATGGCTTTTGGAGCGGAATAGAGTTCTCCCGGTCAGCTATATGTACATATATTAGGTACTTATTTCGAAATTAACGCGAACGAAGTCGCGGACAAATACTAGTTTATAATAAAATACGCAGTCGACTTTTCATTTGATGTGTTTTCACTAACTTGTTCTGTCACATCTGTGCTACATACGTTCCGTCAAACCATTCGCCCTTGCAACGACAATAATTGATGAGAAATTTTAAACAGCATTCAATTATCCGTCGAAATTCGTACGAGTTATATCATATATAAAATTCGCTGTTCATTAACAACAATTTATTTGTATCGTTAAAATTAATTACAGACTTTTCATTTTGAATTTGGCGTTATTGGATTGTAAATGATAAATCACTGAGCTATAGAAACGTTATATCGGGGACTGTACGATGTATTTTTCAAAGAATTTCAGTCATAAATTACTAAGCGAAGGATGATTTGCTTCTACCTCTGTCTCATTCACTGCCATTGTATTAAGAGATTTAAATACAACGTACGACACAAGTCGACGCACGTATTATAAAATTATACGACTTATGTATATCATATAATAATAGAACCAAGATCGATATCTGTGTGTGACGGTATGTCATTTACACTAATAAAATTATAACATTAAGTGAAGTATAGGTATAATTAACGCGTGCAGAACTAATTAATTCTATGTGAATAAATTCTAGGTAACACACGTAGAATTATCACTAACATTGTGGAATTTAAATTTGCGAATTAAACATGCGACTCTATTCGATGTTTCTTTATGAGAAACATTGTAGTTGCTTTTATATAACCATATAACAATAACAATGGGACAAAATATTACGTGTATTTCATCTTCACGTTTTAAATCATACCCAAAAATAATCCAACTCAATTGAATGTTCTATAAATATGATTTGGTTAGTAATTTTATAATTATCCGCGTATTAGCTGAGCCGGCGAGCTATGTCGACTTCGTATGGGAAGTTAAACATGACTCATAAAATACATGATTCAATGCAACGATAATAATAGTCATGGACGTTTAATTGTTTAAAACAAAATAAACAGCTGAGCGATTCTCGACCTTACGGCCGTGTGATATCATAATGAGGTTGTCAAAGTTGTCATAATAGAAAAATCGACAAAAAACACAAATGACACCTATCAATCAAGTTGTACATTTACATCGGATTTAAAAATTTCACGTATATACTTCAAAGATTTTTTGTGTGAGAACATGAACTGTTTGAATCAAATCTACCTCTAAGAGCGTCCACTGCTTTAGGAAGGATCTCATACCCGATTCACACAGTGTAATATGCTATGCAAGATAAATGATATTCACGTCAAAACGTCAATAGGGATTGGTGCTTTTTTATCGATAGGAACCTAAAACCATCAAGCTGGTGAGGTCAGTCATAAAATGCCACGACGGCTCGTGTCAATCCGCGGCGACGGAAACTGTCTCTTCAGATCGGTTTCATACTCGCTTTACGGGACACAGGAAAGGCACAGAGAGATAAGGATACGGGTCGTTGAAAGGGTCGTCAATAATTGGCAGCGATATAAAGATTTTATAATAGGCGACCGATCATACGGCCTCACTATACGCGATCCGTCCGATTACCGGAGTCTCATGTCCCGTGATGGTGAATACGCTGGCCACGTGGAGTTGCACTGCGTGAGTGAGCTGCATCCAGATTTCACTTTCTCAGTACACAGAGACGGCTGCTCGAAGACCATAGAATATGGCAACGGCAGGACCGTCAAACATCTCCTCTTCTCAGGATATCTGGATGCCGGGCACTACTCCGTCATCGAATATTATTAAACGAATTTTTTGTTATATTTGTAATAAAATTATGTTAAAAATTTCTTGCGATGTTATAATATCAAATCAATTGTAATTACGATATGTGAATTGCCACTCAAAAGATATAAAATACGTTCAGAACAATACAAATGATTTCCAATACGGGCCCATTCAGTGTAATTGACGTGGATAATAGTTAATATGTGAGGTCAAACATGCCCGTAACAAGATTAATAATAATTGATGCAGTGATATACAGAGGTCCTCGGACAAAGGGCTTTCGACGCACATTCATGATAACCAAATATATGAAAATTAGTGCTGTTTTAGTCGAAAACAGACAATAGTTTCGGTCGCGTGATGTTTGTAGGAAATAAAATATTATTTATTAAAGTTGACGTCGTAATAATCGATATTTGAAACCGGCCGTGCCCTTCACTAAGCATAGTATTAAAAAGTTATGGTCGCTTTCAATTTAAGGATTTTTTGTTCAACATCAACTAAAACCTTATTTCGACTGCATTATTATTACAATACAATAAATTTATTCAATATAAATAAATTCATATACAAATTGTGTATTGTGATTTTCGTACGATTGTTTGTTGTTTAATTAAATTCGAAATATCGGTTTTATGTGATTGTATCGTATTGTTTTCCTCATACGTGAATCATTACAGAGGTTTCCTGTAAAACGATAAAACAACATTTTATTAAAAACAACTCGAGCTGTGTCCGCAGAAGATAATCCGACGATTTATTCACGTTTATGTATTTTAATTTAAAGTAACGAATTCCTGCATCATTATTACACGCTGCTATTAACATATAATAACAAAATGAGACGTCTGAGTCATCATTATAATCAATATATATGAATCATTACGAGAGAACGTGTAGAGGCATTAGCGAATACGTTCCTTCAGCCTTCGTTTTAATTCGCATCAGTTTAATCAAGCTTTCCTATGAGGTGACGTAAGTATGTTAGCAAGTTATAAAATTTAATAACATATCCACCTCCATTCTTAATGTATGGCATGCGAGCTACATAGTTTATATCTAGCTTAAAGCCGGCTACGTTTAATGAAAATGTAAAATGTTTATGCTCTAAGTGAAAAATATAAGGTACGTTTTAATATATCCTACTTTATTAATAATGTTTTTTCATATCACAGTAACCTGTTACACGTTACACTGTTATTCTAGTTGTACAACTTTAAACCACGCTCGGTTACTATAATTAGTTCCCAACTTATTTACGACGAAGTTGGTTCACTATCAAGTGTTTGTGTTGGATGTACTGACTGACGAACTGTGACTATATTTTAGTAATAAGTATACAATATTAGATTTATTTGTATATAACATACCGACGGAGATAGATCACGGTTAAAACAGACTAAGTGATTTTAAAAGTGCGCGCATCGGAGAAATAAAAAGTTGGAGGAGTTCCAAGAAATACAATGTCAGATTAAAGTTTTTTTTTTTTCATCTAGTACACGAATACGTACGTGTAAGTGGGTGAAATTAATTGAGAATTTCAGTGATAATAATGTCCTAGGAAAAGTTGTTGAGAATTTTTATTTTTTCATTACAATCGTATATGTAACAAAAGCGCACATTTTAACATATAAATATACATATGACTATGTTTAAAACTGCAAAGGTATGACAGTTTATACAATATTATTATTAAATAATTATGATAAACAAAGAGTTTTAAACTTAAGATATGTTTTTTGAACTGAACAGTCACAATAAATCCTATGTTAGATAAACGAGAGATTATTCAAATGAGTCGATGACTCCAATCGCTAGAACATAAACGAAATATTATAAAGTATGCTTCATTGTCACAACGAATGTAGCAAGACAAATCCAGATATTCATATTGTGTGAAAGATTAAAGTTATAACAGTTCTAGAGTAAATCCGACTGGTCTGAATTATAAACTATTTCGGGCGCTTCAAATCGTATTGACCTATCGCAATGGACACACAGAATCGACACAAAACCATCTAGCGGCAGCAAGATTGTCTGCTAAGCTGTCTGCCGGCTGGGGCAAAGACTGATATTTACTTTGATATTGTGAATGGGTTTAGTTTAATACTTTAATATTATAAGTTTTAGACGTAGACCTTAGCCATAAGAGGCGGCTTTATACACATTTAGTAATTTAAAACATTCATAATAATATATTTGATTTATCAATACCCAGGAAATAGAATAATAACAGTTTTATTGCACGTTAGTTAATAGGTTCACTCGAAAATCATTTGATCCAATCAAAATAAATTCGCATGTTAATTTTATGTTAGTAAATAATTTCATATTTAACAGTACAATTTGATTTTGTTAATTAATTAATTCTACGTCAATGTTTTGGTTACTGAAACAAGATTATTTTATGATACGTTATGTTTGGTACAATTTTTGAATCATTATTTTTTTGTAAGACACTCCGTATAACTCGGTTTCTCGGAAAAGATGAGAGAAATTATGAACAAGTGTTTTCTATGCGACATCCCTTAACAGAATATATTTTCCACTATTTTATGACTGAAGTAATAAATAATTTATTTCGTTTCTGAATAGAGAGTTCTTTAAAATCAAAGCTTAGACTTACCTAGAAAAACTTTTACGCCATAAAAATATCTAATTGATAGCATTCAAATGATTGGAGTCTCAAGTTAATAACGAATGTCCATTTTAAATGAAAATGAGTACCGATTGAAAATTTTAATATTATTTCCTCAACGGTTATCAAATTCTATACAAAAATAAATATAACTGTTATTATTATATATAATTAAGATAATTATTTTATATTTACGTCATGTTTGATAACTCGATGATAAAAGATAGAAGATAAAAGATAAAATCGTGCGTGTACCGTCACCTTTCGTTTCCATATAAACGGCATTGGAAATTATTTTTTCATTCCAATGCTGTTGCATTCCTATTGGTATAAAATCGAATCTAGCTCCTCACATCTGATTCTAGGAAACGTTTCAGACACAAACCACAAACAAATCAAGTTAAGTGACGAACGCTCCACTACATACACTTTGAAGCAATTGTTACTTTATTTATATAAAGGCGTGATATATTTTCATTGAGAATAAATATTATACATTTTCATATGCGAATAGAGAAAATGATTTTTATTAATAAAATATGAATGAATATTTTAAACTGATTACAATATTGAAATAAATTTATCCGCTTGTAAACAAGATTAAATAATTGAGTTCCACGTATATATGTTATACTATTTTTATGTTTATGAAAGTAAGAAAACAGGTTGTTTACTTGCTGTCCTCGAAATATTGGTTCAAAATCTAATTAACTGCGCCACGTTGAAAACTATCCGTTATTTTTACTTTTATTAGAAATTAGATTTCGCTGAGACTTGGGTGCGGGTAGCACTTATTTTTATACTACATTTATATGAATAAAAATAGCTTAAATGTAAATAAAAACAGTACTCGGTACTTATTACATCAGTTATCTAACATTACCGTTTCGGAGATTAGGTTGAATAAACGAACAGACATATATTAAAAAAACTATATTTTATAACTCACATACAAAATTTTATTTACCCGTAAATCTAATATGAGGAAAATAAATTACAAATATCAAAAACTGTAGTCCATTTGGTAACATTTAATGGATGAACGGAGAGTTTTTAGAAATAAATTTTTTATCATTGGTTTAACGGGTTTTCCTCTAACAGGGAGAATAAATACATTTATTGCGCGTTGCTAAAAACGATAATACTGCAGTACACTTATTCAGGAGTACTAGGTGAAAGATATATATACATATATGTACATATATATATGTAAATAAATATTAGTGCCATCTAATACATTCCGAGACCCCTTGAAACTCCAAACCGGTCGCTAATTGCACCAAATGAACGTTAATCGTTGTAAATGGCTTACGGCTTATCTTGAAGGAATGCCCGTTAGTCAGACACTTACAATTGTTTGAAATGATTGGACTCACAGTTTTGTATGAATTGTATTTTTAAAATGTTTTGAATGTAAGCCATAGTCTTGACTTAACTGGTGCAATTGTAATAGGCTATATTTAGACATATTTTTTCTACATACTTTAAATAGTTAACATATTAAACGTCCGTTTAAAGAAACAATATGTTATATTTATTTTTAAACTCACGGACGATACGGCTAGTCCGCTTTAACCACAGAAGCTATAAAAAACTTAAAAGTATTATTCAATAGCCTATAATCCTATGTAGCGAAAAATACAATGACCAGATATTCGGCTATCCAAACTTTTATATATAAAATACTTATCGTCACTTTATCTCATATAAAACTACGAATACTATAGAATTCTTTTAATTCAATAAATATAATTTAATTAAAACAACTAATATATTAAGTCGTACTATGAATTCTATTTGAAATTCCAACGAGTTACAACTAGGCCATTGTAATGATACTTATCTAGTGATATAACCATTCCTTATATAAAATATTCTATTCATTGAAGTATAGTTAGTCCAAGCCGCAAGATAAACGCCGATGTTAAATATGATATCTAACGGCCAACCTGAGTACGTGGCTCGCGAAGTATGGCAATGTTGTTTATATATAAACACACATATATATTAAAATATTATAATTTTCCGAGTCGTATGTCCTTTCTGAGAGTATTTAGACACAACTGACAGACAGTGAATTTTAATACAAAACATCGTGAGGAAACCTGGACTTATAATTTCACAATTATAAGTTTGAAATCACCAACCCGTCTTGAGCAAGCGTGGTGATTAATGCTTAAACCTTCTCCATGAGAGAAAGAGGTCTTTGCTCAGCAGTGGGCTCTGATAGGAAAAAATATTTTATAAGACTGGAGGCGTTTAAGGAAAAATTGAAGGTGCTTTTACCTTGATAATGATGACTTATGATCTGAAGCAATCTAATTACCAACAGGTGGAATGTGAGCCACGCATTAGATAGTTCTAATTTATATATAAGTAT